GCCTGCTAAAGAAGACAGAAAGCACTGCATGTGATGGGCACTTCAACCAGGGGCCACAGGCGACACAAGGAGTCCCCATGCTCTGGCCAACTTTGCTTCAGAGAGTTTTGGTTTGGACTTTGGAAGAGTATCTTATCTAAGGGGACTTTCTCAGAGAGGCTGGCTGACAGCTCTGAGCAAGGGGCACCTATCTCCACCACAGCTACATCTGTTCTTCGTTAAGGTGTCAGATTCCAGGATCCTCATTTGGCAAAGAATTGAATCCATCTTCAAGCATGGGGTGGCCTAGACTTAGACTGGAAATCCTACGGGGGACTCCAGACCAACCTTTGAGAGTCAAGAAATAAAGACTGCATCTTCCACGTGGACTCACTCTCTATACCCTCGCTATGAATACCACCACCAGACTCCCTGCACTGTGTAAGAAGCAGAACCCTTCATCCCTAGAGGTGAACTATTTTCCTACAAGAAGTAAGGAGCAAACCCACCTTAGGTCTTAATACTGTTAGGGAGAAAACCACATGCACCCACACACCTCATATTCTTCATGCTGGCTTCCCTCTGAGTAAGCTCTGAGAGAAGATAGGAAGATGAAAGCCACTCTAACAACAATCTTTGTGAATGCATTCTGCTTTTGAGCCATACAAACAAGACAATCACAATTACTCCATCAAAGACAGACTGGGCCTAATTTTCCTGAACTCTGTCAGAAAGTTAGTAAAGCATCTCAACTCCTCTTTCTGTCAATGTCATTTAATGTCATTTAATCTTACAACTTCCCATATGACTTATCCCATGCCCTCAAAGACAGGTAAGAGTTAAGGAGATAACCAATTTGTAGACAATCCTCTAGAGGGAACATGACGAAACACTAATCCTTCTTTCCGTAACATCAACTTGTAATAATATCAGCTAGTGGGACAGTGGTTCACCATTGTGTATCCTGTGCCCACTACTGAATCAGGCATTAATAAAGATTTGTTGAGTGAATGAATATTAAGGATTTATTTCCTTTACCACGGTGATGCTCCGCCATACTGGGATTGCATGCAACTCATTCTTTGGGGCATGAAAATCATTGGGCATCAGCACAGAATGCAACCCAGCCTAATCAGTCATCTCTCAAATGCATCATTGTTCTTTTTTAGGGGTCCAGCTAGTAAAATGTGGGCAAATTTACAAAAATCCCTGTCTTTTATGGGGGAGGAAATGTCCTTCTGAAGTGGAAAAAAACATCATTCCAGTATCTACCAGCCATGGAAATAATTTAACAGGTATTTATATATTTTTTAAAGATTTTATTTATTTGACAGAGACACAGCGAGAGAGGGAACACAAGCAGGGGGAGTGGGAGCCCGATGTGGGGCTCGATCCCAGGACCCTGGGACCATGACCTCAGTCGAAGGCAGACGCTTAACGACTGAGCCACCCAGGCGCCCCTAACGGGTATTTTATTTGCCTACTACGTATAAAGCACTATGGCAGGCATTGCAGGGGATACAAAGATGAATAAAACACAGCCTTTACCCTTAAGGGTTCACAGTCTAGTAAGCGGGATAAAACAAATACATCCATAGCAATCATACAAACAAAACAACACATATACAAAAGCATGTTCTGTATGTCCAGAACCTACAGGAATTGAGCAAAAGGTACAAGGTGAAATTCATATTTCCCTTTACTTCAACAACGTATTTCTTGAGGTTTTATTTTCAAAACACTGTTTTTGAGAAGTACATTTAATGCAGGAAGTGAGATGGAGAAGAGAAGCACAGAGAAATAAAAGGAGGTGCTGGGAAAGCAGACAGAGCAAAACAAAATTTACAAACCAGAATGGATTTTTGTTTAAATCGTGCTTTCCTTAAAAACCACTTCCAAGGCTGAAGAACTAAACGTATTGAAACCAGTGATGACATTTCAGACTAAACTACACACACGGCAAATCTTAAAGGTAATTACGTCTTTTCTTTTAAAGGCAGGCAAAATTATCCAAGCCTTTTCATAGTGGGCTGCCCTGTGCCATGGGAAACAGATTATCCCAGGAAGGGAGAGTCTGTAAAAGTAAAGGTGCAAAGAGCCATTGTGTTTGGGGATGGGAAGGTGGGGGCTTCCTCCCAGGCTCCTCCCAGGGTATGGGAGGTAGCAAAATCAGCAAAGAGGGGCCGGGTGCCCTAAATGTCGGGGACTAGAAACGAATATGAGGCTAGAGTAGGTAGTGTCATATACTCCATTCAATCAGATAAAGTCTCCCGCTGGAGTCAATTATGGCTCCATAGCTGGGCTATGACTCATCTGTAACAAAATCTCTCCATTGCCAGGGTGCATTTGATATTCTCATGGCCAGGTCAGAAAACAAGGAAGGAATCACAGAAACAGAATTGGACTGGGGAGTTTAGAGACGTGGGGCTGAATCTGGCTCCAGCTCAAAACTGTTCTGTCCCACATTCCATCTTTCTGCTCCTCTTATTCTTCCCCCAACCCACCATGCTCCAACCTCCTAATCTAGTGCTCACCAAACTACATACGTACACACACTCAAACAGCCACATCTATTTAGCACTAACTATATGCCTGCGCTAAGTGCTTTAAAGTAGATCATCTCTAAATGTCACAACAACTTTGGGAGACAGACATTAGCACTCCCATTTTATGTATGTATGTATTTAGATACAATTCACCCTTTTAAAGTGTATAATTCAGTCTTTTTTAGCATATTCACAAAGCTGTGCACCCATCACCACAATCTAGTTCCAGAACATTTTCACTCTCCCAAAAGAAATCCACATCCATTAGCAGTCACTCCGCATTTTCCTCTCTCCTCATTCGCTGGCAATCACTAACATACCTACTATCTTTATGAATTCGTCTATTCTGGGCATTTCACACAGATGGAATCATACGATATACAGCATTTCATACCACTACCATTTCACATAGGAAGAAGCCAAGACTCAACGAGGTTGAGCAACTTGCCCAAGTCACACAGTGAAGGAGAGGCTGAACTACAACAGGAAACCCAGGTCTGATTCCAATGCTTGTGCTTGCTTTTCAACCACTGTCACTGCTTCCATACAGGAAGAAAATTGAGAGAGAAAGCAAAAGTTTTCGATATGCTTGGGGTAATAAAAGTCATAGATAAGAACCACAATTACAGCACCATCCCTGCAGAGGTTATACCGAAGAGCCAAAACAGATCAGGGCAAACTACTCTCTAGAAAGCACACCTGTCCCAGTCTCTGGCTGTTTCACCCCACAACCCGACTTCCCACCGCGCAGCTGGGTAAGAAGGCAGCCCCATGAAATCAGGCTGTAAACAACCTCCTTTCTCCCCAATTTTCTGTCTCTTCCCCAGATGTCACTCTGCCACTTAATTACCTATACCGATTTCCGTCTAAGGAGTCCAAGAAAAATGTCTATTTCAAATAAGTGCACTAGTGCTTTTCCTCTTCTTTTAAATTCTGGCAACCAGTTTATACTAGGTGTGAAAAAAAGAAGGCAAAGAATGTTGGAGAAACTAAGCTGTTTGCCAACCAAAGGCAAAAAGCTATAAAAACCTAAGAATTGTAACTCCCATAAAATGCCTATAATCTAGCCATACCTTAGCTCTCTGCCATTTTTCTGCTTTAGGTGCTGCCTACGTATATGGTTGAAGTCAGACTGTCCCTTTCTAGAGGACTGACTTCAGGTCTTCCTAGTCCTTTTCATCCCTCCTCCAACAGAAACAAATAATAGGTGCACTGTAATGATGATAATTATAATTCTTTTTTCTTTCTTAGGAGAAAAGTACAGAAGGGAAAGACTGATTCCCACTAGCCTAAGGCAAAGGCCAATGTCTTTATTTGACTCTTTGTCCCCTATACCAGATACTCAAATGTTTACTGAATACTATGGAATAATATGACCTACCTATAATACCTACACAGCACGGTAACAGGCACTATTCTAAACATACACATTACCATATATTAACTCCCAACAACCCTAAGGGCAAGCACTACTGTTGGAATCCCCGGTTCCAGATGAGGAAACTGGCTCAGCACAGTTGTGATGTGCCCAAGGTTATCCAGATAGTAAGGAATGGAAACAGGATTGAAGGAATGCAGCACAGAGGAGAGCACTGAGGAGAGCATTCCAACTCATTCTAATGTCTTCAAACGTTCAGGATATGTTACAACAGCTAAGAACTCTGTTGGATCACAAAACAAGAAAAATACTTTTCCCTCTGCTACTGTGTAACACTCCATTCTGACTTTTTTCAAAGAAGTTTTCAAAGTCTTTTTCTCATTACTTCTGAAGCTGGAAAATAAACTCATCCCCTGGAGTTTGGTGAAAAGAAGGCCAATGATTTGGGCAGCAGAGGAGGAATGGAATTAAAGAAATTTCACTTGTAACTCAGTTTACTTTGTACGGGCCAGGCACAAGTACTTTTTTAGCTCCTAAAACATCATGTATGTTATATACTCTCTAAACTGACTCCAATGAATACAAAACTGTCAAAATTAAGAAGAAAGCACTATTCTGGGGTCCTTACTATCTCCTTTGTGGTTAAAAGTGATATAATAAAAATCTGGGGTTAATTGATGATCTTCAGTTGCTCAAATACTATACTACATCCAACCTAGAAGCACACTTCCACTCTGAAATGATTAAAACCTTCTAGAGGGGGCGCCTGGGTGGCTCAGTCAGTTAAGCGTCTGCCTTCGGCTCAGGTCATGATCCCAGTCTGGGATCGAGTCCCATGGCGTCCCATGGCGTCCCATGGCAGGCTCCTTGCTCAGTGGGAAGTCTGCTTGTCCCTCAAACGCTCCCCCTACTTGTGCGAGCTCGCTCTCTCTCTCTCTCTCTCTCGAATGAATAAAATCTTAAAAAAAAAAAAACCACAAAACTTCTAGAGGTTTGTTAGGTTAGGAATTGACTGTTCCTTTCATTCATATGTGGAACTGAAGAAACAAAAGAAATGGGCAAAGAAAAAAAAAGGGACAAACAAAACAGAACTTGTGGTTGCCAGAGGGGAGGTGGGTAGGGGTTGGATGAAGTAGATAAAGGGAATAAAAAAAATTTTTTGAGTGTTCCTTCTTTTAATATTCCGAGTTCCTATTCAGAAACCAACATTCACAAAAGAAAGTTGAGACAGTCTCTGAGTGAACTTGACCTTGCACAGATAGCCTGTAAAAGGAGAAAACAAGAGCTAGTTGTCTTTTAAGGAGTGGTTTCTACTTTCTAACACAGTTACCTAAACAGCTGGAAAAATGGCATTCCCAAAATATAAATAGTAAGTGCCACCTCACTAATCTTCCCTGATATCAACTCATTTTCACCTCTAAGGACAAAACTCTCCATACTGAAAGGAATGGAAGCATTTTATGGAACAAAATCAAATTGTTCCCAGTCCAGTCATCTGCACCCTACCCTGGTTTTTATTTCAGATGGACAAACTCCAGAGGGTGAAGAGAATTAGTTAAATACAATACGCAAAGATTAGTTCATGATGCAGTCAACTAGAAAAGCCAATGAGGCAAAATACAAAGGGTACATTTGTCTTTCTTAACTTGGCTTTTAAAGAATAAAAACAAGAGCGTGTCAAAGTGCCTTGAAAAGCTCCATCTCTCTGATTTTTTTTTTCAGTAGTGATTCTAAAATAAATAGTTGTTATAAAGTAACAGCAATAGAGAACTCTTTGAGGTAAGCTATAAGAAAAACTTGTGAGCAGGGAAGCTGCTAGAAAGCACTGCTGGGGGGAGAGGGTGAAAGTACACATTCTGAGGATCATCTCTGAAAACATTAGTCCTTCTTGCCAGTTCTCCCACAGCCTCTGTAGGTAGGTCCATTTTCAGAACAGCAAATCTCTGGGCACACATGTCAAAACCACAACTCCAAAAAAGCTATCATGCCTTTCCTCCCATGTTTATTACACCCAGGCCAACTAAATGGAATAGTATCATTTAAGATCGTATCAGAATCTTACTATCTTACTTTGGTCACCATTTCTGGAGTCTCAGACAAATTTAGGATATCAAACATGCAACTCTGGAAATGCAGGACCCAACACACAAACTCTGAAGAGTTCAACAATTCATTCTGTCCTGAGCCTCCTGTTCAAATGTGCTATGAGCAACTAATTTGTGCTTCCCAAACTCTGTTTGTAGACCACTTCCAACAGAATCCCCTGGGGCATTTCATGTTTAGATTCTCAGGATCCACCCATGAGACCTACTCTATATGTGGGGTAGAGCATGAGATAGATTTTTAATGCTAATTTGGTTTTAGTGCACACTTAAGTTTGAGAATCACTAAATTAAACCCACTGACTTATTTGCTATGTTGGCCCCCGAGTACTTGTCCACATGGGACGCCAGTCCCTTCTCCCTTCCAATCTATTTCCTAATTAGACGCAGTACTTAACAAACCCTCCGGTTCCCCACCAAGAGCATTTGAAAATGAAGCGAGAAATTAGGAAAGATTAAAGCCCTGCACGATTTTAAGTGCTTTAGGGACTCTAGCACATCCCAGGGAGAATCAAGGCAAGAAGTCTCAGCACCAGCACCAGCACCACCCCCACCCCCACCACCCCCACCACCAAAAAACCCGATCCCTTCCTCTCTAACTTCCTCACCATAAGCACGAGCAACCTTTCAGGCAACTCCCTGGCACCTATCAGACAGATATTTGCTTCAGCGACCCCAGCCCCATTTAGAGTACATTCCTGCTTCTTCACAGAGTTGCCTCGCGACTGGTGCAAAAACATTGCACAAAATCACACACGCGCGCACAACACACACACAATGCACTCCAGTTCCCTGGCCTCCTCGGGCTCCAGGGGCACCCTGCCTGCTGCTCTTCCTCTGCCTGTCCACTCCTCCATCCCTAAGCGGGTCTCCGACTACAGCGGCCCACTCCCCACTCATAGCCACCCTCCCCGCTCCTCGGGGGACCCCGGCCCCTGCGCACGGCCCGCTGGCCCGGGGCCCCGGAGCCCGCTCCCGGAGTTCGGGGCGGCCCTGGGCGCCCCTCGCCCGCCCCCGCCCCGAGGGATGCCCGCCCACGGCCTCGCCGATCCGACCCGCCCAGGCCCCGCGGCCCCGCCACGCCGCCCTTCTCCCACTTTCCGCCCCTTCCCGGCCTGTTTTGCAGGGACAGGGGTGCGGTCCGCCCTCCAGCTGGCCCCTCCAGCCCCGTCTCCGCCGCCGCTGCCCTCCTTACCCGCCTGCAGCCCGGGCTCGGCGACGTCGCCGGCAGGGCCGCGCTCGGCCCCGCTGCCGCCCGTGGGGGAGGAGGGACAACTGTGGCTGTGGGAGCACTTGATGTCGCGGAAGAACTTCTGGGTTTCGCGCAGGTTCTGCCGCAGCCGGCCCAGGTAGCGGCGGTAGCGGCCGAAGCCCCGGCACAGCTCGCGGATCATTCCGCCGCCGCCCGGGCCGGGACCCGAGACGGGCTCGCTCCCCCACGGCACCCCGTCGCCCTCCATCTCCTCAGCCTGCTCTGTCCGGGCGGCTCGGTCCCCGGGCCGTGGCCCCGCTTCCCTCCTCCCCGCCCCCCTCCCCACTCCAGTGCTTCGGGAAGGAGGATTCCGCCTCCTGACGCCCCCGCCTGCAGTCGGCCGGGCTTCCAACCTCCGTCACCGCCGTTGAAAATAAACCAACCCGCAGTGCGCTGCCAACGGAACCTTTGTCTCCACTCTCCGGGAGAGTGAGGGAAGGATCACTGGAACGCGCCGTCCCTCTGCGGCGTCTCCTGGGACTTGTAGTCCGGGCCAGGCGGGCTCCGAAACCTGGAGATGGATGGGACTGATTCCCCATTGAACCTCCCCGGTTCTTGTGCTCACCCGCTCTGCTCGTTTCAAAACGTGTTCCCGCCCCCTGCATGGAGACGAGAGAGAGGAGGCTGCAGAATCCGGCGTCAGCAAAAGTGGGGTGTCTTACTGAAATCAAAGCAAAAGATTTCAATAGCAAAGAGAAGGAAGGAAACAAGACTGAGGGCAGCAATATCTCCACGGCTACCCTACCCTAAATGGTTCTCACTTTCCCGATACAGTAGATACTGGGAAATCTGCTGAAAATTCCCTAGAAATAGGGAAACCGCTCCTGTTTGTATTGCGTCCTCTTCTTCTGACTTCCTTCTCCAGGTGTGGAAAAGGGGGATGTGAAAAGGTCGTTAAAGAGCTTTAAGGTGAAGTTCGTTGGTTTCTGGAAGTCAAGAGACTGGGCTGGGTAAGGGGAAGTTGAGGTTTGCAGTGTTTCAAACTAGTTCTGATTATCTTAACTTGGCTTCTGCTAATATAGACTTTTATTGACAAAGACTGCCACGGAGCCCTGGACACAATTGCGGAGGAGACAAAACTTAACAACCACCCCTTTTTCGCCTGCTGCTTTCTTTTCTCTTCTTCAGACACAGTGCTTTCCTGTCTTTCTTGCTGTGGAAAAACCCCATCTTTCATCCAGGCGAGACCTCTGCTCCAACAGGCTGGATGGTGTAGTTCAACTGGTTTTAAGAAGAGACTTGGGTTTGAGCCTGAATTCCTCCAATGTCTTGTCTTGGACCTATGAAGTAAGGGTTTGGACTAGTTGATCTTCAAGCCCTTTTGGCTCTAAAATTTTGTGAGTCTCGCTTCAAAATGTTTGCTTCTGTCTCCCCACCTCTCATCCCTTGAGTGCAAGTGCTTTTAGCAAAGTGATGTCATGATAATTGGGCTAATTCAATGTAAAATGTGAAGCCTTCACATTTCCAGGGGCTTTTAGGATTTTATAAAAAGGGGTCACTGGTTCACATGAATCTCTGCTTGGTAAGTGCATGTGAAAGACTATAGGCTAGGAGGGAGCCTCTAACTCTTTCTCATGTACTTCCTCCCTTTTACTTGCCTACATATTCTCCACTGGCCACTCCTCATTTTGCAAGACCCCCATGCAACCCCTAAAAGGCTTACTAAAACACAATGAAAATACAAAATGGAAAGTTTAATACAAGATGGTTGATACTCTTTAAAAGAAGCAGCAGCGGGGTGCCTGCGTGGTATAGTTGGTTGAGCATCCAACTCTGGCTCAGGTCATGATCTCAGGGTCATGGGATCGAGCCCCATGTCGCGCTCTGCACTCCACGGAGTTGGCTTGAGATTCTCTCTCTCCCTGTCTCTCTGCCCCTCCTGCTCGTGCGCTCACTCTCTCTAAAATAAATCTTTAAAAAATAAAAATAAAAAAAGTAGCAGCAGCATAGCAAATTAGTGTGTGACAGTTTTACTGCACACAATCATTTCTAACAAAGGAGATCAGATAAGAGAGTACTGGGGTTGGAGTTGTCCAGAAAAGAATTTGGGAATCAATATCCATCTTGAAGAAGTAACAGTTGGAAAGATGGAAGTCACCAGGGAGAGCATTATGTCAAGTAAAGGTCATGGAGCTCATTCTTTTATTTATTTATATTTTTTTTACATAGGGTCTGAACTCAGGACCCTGAGATTGAGACCAAGAGTCAGATACTCAACTGACTGAGCCACCCATGTGCCCCTGCTCATTCTTTAAAAAACTATTCACTAGTACTTTATTTTTAAAATAAGTAATATAAGACTGTAGTATAAAATGCACATGCTACAAAGGTTATACAAGGGAAAACTAAGTCTTTCTTCTACTTCCTGTCTCCCAGTCACCTAGTTCTCCTCCCAGGAGGTAACCCTGTTGCAGATACAGGTATGTATCTTTAAATCCAGATGATAGCGTACTATACTTACTCCATTATGCCTTTACAGACTCTTCCATACCAGAACATAAAGATATGCTTCATTCTTTTTAACTGTATAATATGCTACCACGTGGATTGGTATGTTTTATTTAACAAGTCCTCTACTGACTAGGGTGCCTGGGTGGCTCAGTTGGTTAAGCATCTGCCTTCTGCCCAGGACCCTGGGATTGAGCCCCACATCAGGCTCCCAGCAGGGAGGCTGCTTCTCCCTCTTCCTGTGCCCCTCCCCCTGCTTGTGCATGCACGCTCGGGCTCTCTCTCTCAAATAAATAAATAAAATGTTTAAAAAAAAAAAAGTGCTCTACTGATGGGCTTGTAGGTTTTTTGCAGTCTTTTTTTTTTTTTTAAGATTTTATTTATTTATTTGACAGAGAGAGACAGTGAGAGCAAGAACACAAGCAGGGGGAGTGGGAGAGGGAGAAGCAGGCTTCCTGCAGAGCAGGGAGCCTGATGCGGGCTTGATCCCAGGACCCTGGGACCATGACCCGAGCCGAAGGCAGATGCTCAACCATCTGAGCCACCCAGGCGCCCCAGCAGTCTTTTGCTATTACAAATAATGCTAACCTTGTACATACATAATTTAAAAATTTGAGTATGTATATGTCTCATCTCTATTTTTGCTTTGCTGAGGAAAACGATCATTTGTTTCCTGCTACTTAAAAGCTTAAATATGCGACTGTCAGTGAACTCTTCCTAAATCACAGTGAGCTACACGTAAAAACACATATTTTATTCAAATATCTAAGGACAAATGGAGGAGAATAAAGATTTGAATGGTATCAAGAGAGAACTCAAGTTAGGATAGGAAAATGTTCCTCAAGAGTGATGAGAGTTAAGTGGTTAATAAGGATGAACACACAGATCTACTTTTGTTTCCTCCTACAACACCATGAAAATGACAGTAATGGGATTTTTAAAGCATGAACCCACAATAATGAGAGGAGCCAGTAGGAGAAACAAAAACAAAAAAGTAGAAGCTGGAAAGCAAATGGACAAGCGTTAACTAAGTTAACCTGGAGAAACCTGAACCCTAAATCCAAAGTGGATAAAGCCGAGGCCCAACCTGATTTATACCTGCCGAATCTCTCAAGTCTCCAAACTTGGTGGCATTAACCCCGCCTGCCACCCCCCCCCCAGTTGCCCACCAGCGATGTCTAGGAGCCATCTACAGGTTGTACCCTGGGCAGGGATTAAAATAAGAATTTCGAAAGCTGTTTAAGATCTCCAGGTTACCTCCCCCTTCTTCAATGGCTGCACTCTTCCTCTAAAAGAAAACTGAAGTATTTATTCTCCAGAGCAGGTCGAAGAGGAGTCTCTGTATAAACAGGGAGATAAGTGGATTTATGGATATTGGATGCTAAGATTCCTAGCCCTGTTCCTCCATTCAATTTCCAGATCTCCGGCTACCAGGCGTTGACCTTCCAGAGAGGAAATGTGACGTGTCTTTTTCAAGTACTCTGACCAGGCCAAGAGGAAAAGCCCAAAGATACTGACATCAGAACAGAGATTTTTTTTTTTAACTGAGATATAACTAACATTGAAGTTTATATTAGTTTCAGGTATACAACATAATGATTCAATATATGAATATATATTCACCATAAGTCTAGTTAACATCCATTACCATACATAAAGAATTTTTTTCTTGTGATGAGAACTTTCAAGACTTACTCTTAGCAACTTTCAAATATGCGATAAAGTATGATTAACACCAGTCCCCATGCTGTAGGTGACATCGCTGTGACTGATTTATTCCCTACCTGGAAGTTTGTGCCTTTTGACTCCCTTTACCTATTTTGCCCCATCCCCCTGCCCTGCCTCTGGCAACCACCCATCCAGAACACAGATTTTTTTCTGGCTTGTTCACTGCTCTCTCTCCTGCACCTAGAACAGTGCCTGTGACTTAGTAGGTCTTCCTTAGATATTTGTCAAATGAATGAATGTTCACTGTAGATATTTTTAAATATTCAGGAAAGCACAAAGGAGAACATAAAAACTACTCATATTTTTACTATCCAGTAAGAACAAGTTCCTCTTGGAACTATGACAAGTTCCTCTTGGTTAGATGATTTGATTTCTAGAGACATTCCAAAGTCTTTTTTTAGGTTTATTTTTATATTTTTAGTATTTTTTCTTTTTCTTTTTTTTTTAAAGATTTTATTTATTCACTTGAGACAGAGGGAGACAGAAAGAACACACAAGCAGGGGGAGAGGTAGAGGGAGAGGGAGAAGCAAACTCCCTGCTGAGCAGGGAGTCCAATGTGGGGCTCCATCCCAGGACCCTGGGGTCATGACCTGAGCCAAAGGCAGACGCTTAACCATCTGAGCCACCCAGGCACCCCTATTTTTAATTTTTCTTAAGTAGGCTCCATGCCCAATGCCGGGCTTGAAATCATGACCCTGAGATCAAGAGATCATCTCTACCAACTGAGCCAGCCAGGTGCCCCAAGATTCTGGAGTCTTGATCCTCATGTTCACGTAGGTGGAAATCAGGTGTTTTTTTGTGGAACACCAAGAGACAGTAACATTTATTTCTGCAGTGTGAATTAGGAACAAGTTTACGAAGAGAAAGAATAACTGTTCTCTATTATGCAATATAAAATCACAATCACAAATCCAAGAATTTAGGGGGTGCCTGGCTGGCTTACTTGGTAGAGCATGCAACTCTTGATCTTGGGCTTGTGAGTTCGAGCCCCACATTGGGTGTAGAGATTACTTAAAATCATTTTTAAAAAATACCAAGAATTTATTTATTTATTTATTTTTAAGATTTCATTTATTCATCTGACAGAGAGACACAGCAAGAGAGGGAACACAAGCAGGGGGAGTGGGAGAGGGAGAAGCAGGCTTCCCGCGGAGCAGGGAGCCTGATGCGGGGCTCGATCCCAGGACCCTGGGATCATGACCTGAGCCTAAGTCAGACACTTAATGACTGAGCCACCCAGGTGCCCCCCCAAAATCCAAGAATTTAAAAACTTACAAATTAAAGGGAAAAACATACAACAAACAACATTTCGAGTTTTCCATAGGTATTTCTTT